TCATGTCTCACCAATATTTAAGAAAGGTTCTAAAAGTGACTCGGGAAACTATAGACCTGTCAGTTTGACGTCAGTTCCATGTAAGATCCTACAACGCATAGTCCGAGATGCAATCTTAAATCACATGGACAAGAACCATCTCTTCACCACCACCACCACCCCACCACCCACCAGCATGGCTTCAGAAGTTCCCGCTCCTGGACCACTGAACTACTAGAGGTCATTGAAGACTGACTGGACACATGCACTAGATGATGGGAACAATGTGGACATCATATACCTCGACGTCAGCAAAGATTTTGACAAAGTGTCGCACCGCTTGCTATTATACAAACTATATAAATATGGTATCAGAGGTCATTTTGGCTTGGACTAAGGAATTCCTAAAAGACATGACCCAACGAGTTACAATCAACGGAGCGAAATCCTCAAGTCTTCCAGTCACAAATAGAGTTCCCCAGGGAAGCGTCCTTGGCCCGATACCATTCTTGATCTACGTCAATGACACGCCTAAACTTCTCAGCTGTATAACCAAATTATTTGCGGACGATACCAAACTCTATTCAAAAACTCGAACAGAATTAGTAAGACAACAACTCCAAATAAACATCAACAAAATAAGTAACTGGACCGACAGCTGGCTCATGAACTAAACACCAAGATGAACAAACAACCGAAATAGAGAAAGTAGCCACAGCAAGGGACCTTGGAGTACCCTAAAATTCTCAACCCAAGTCAATACGGCAGTGTCGAAATGTTAGGTATACTGTTTCGAACTTTCATTTTTATGGATATAGCTCTTTTTATAACCCTGTAAAAGTCCGTTATCCGTCCACATCTAGAATACGCGACGCAAGTGTGGTCACCGTATCTAAACAAGAACAAATAGCTATCGAAAATGTCCAACGAAGAGCCACTAAAAGAGTACTAGAAATAGAGAATGTGCCCTACCATGAACGCCTAAGAACACTAGGTCTACCATCTCTGGAATACAGGCGTGAGAAGGCAGATGTGGTTGAGTTGTACAAAATATTGAACGGAATCGACCAGTTAGACTACGGCCTGATTTTTCGTCCTACACCACTTAGTATCACTAGAGGTCACTCTAAAAAGATATTCAAGAAAAAATTCAGGCTTAACACTAATAAGAATGTCTTCAATAACCGAGTGATAAAGGTCTGGAACAGTCTACCCGAGGACACTGTCTCGTCAAAAACACTTAACGAGTTCAAGTCAAACTTAAACACACTGTGGAGGAATCACCCCCGGAAGTTCTGCCCTTCCTTTTATCGTTAATGATTCACACGGAAATCTCATTTACCATTAGAATGTTAGTTACTACCTATAATATAATTGAGGTTATATACATAAATCTTTTAAATCATACATAAATTATTGGCATAATAAACAAGTATTCACAATAAAATAAAGTGTAAAAGCTTGATACATTGTAAATAGTTTTAATCCCTACGCAGCCGCAGTCCGTTGATGGCAGGCTATTCTGCTAGCAACGTATCAAGTGAGAAGAGGATATTTAGACTTCTCCACAAGCTCAAGCTTCAGATCGACGTTCAGCAACAACATATATATTGTTAATAGTTAATTACAATTATTGAAAATCAACCTGTCTGCGCAACCGGAAGGAAGTCGTGTCCAGCAGAAGTTTATTGACAAGGATCATACCATTCAGCTAACCTCGGCCGATTCGGGTACCTTTCATCTAGATGTAGATCTGCCGAGGTGTGCCGAATGGAATCATACATCATCCAGAAGCCATTTATGTCAACCAGTGATTCCACTGATTCAAGGGGATACCCGAACCGGGCCGAAGACTTAGATAAAAGAAGGAGGTGTGCAGTGGAACTTGACTGGGTCGATCGTCGGCGTCCAGTTAACTCAATTGGTAGAGCGTCCGTCTAGAGTTCGGAGGGTCCCGGATCTAACCTTTGTCTGGCCGTTGGATTTTCTCTTTTTCCTGTTACACTAGAATGAAACCGGTGACCAGAAAGCTCTAATGGCGGTCCCAGTTTCAAGAACGTTTCTGAA